TGTACATGTTATGAAGTCTACTGTACACCTTTTGATATCTACTGTACATATTTTGATATCTGCTATACACGTTCTGATGTTTACTGTACACATTGTGATGTCATCTGTACACGTTCTGATATCTTCTATGTACGTTTTGATTTCTAATGTACATGTTCTGACATCTACTGTACATGTTCTGATATCTACTGTACACGTTCTGATATCTACTGTACACGTTCTGATGTTAACTCTACACATTGTTATGTCAATTGTACACGTTCTTATGTCTACTGTACACATTCTGATTGCTACTCTACACGTTCTGATTTCTACTGTACACATTCTTGGCCTACTGTACCCATTGTTATGTCAACTGTATATGTTCATATGTCTATTTTACACGCTCTGATGGTTACTCTACACTTTTGGTGTCAACTGTACACGTTCTTGTGTCTACTGTACACATTCTGATATCTTCTTTACACGTCATTTGGGCTACTTTTTACATTCTGACGTGTACTCCGGGTTTTTTTGTCGTCTAGTGTGTATTTTCTGGAACCAATTGTGAGCCTTCTGAGGTGTTATCTAAACGTTATCAAGTCTGATGATGTGTGAACCAAATGATGTATTCCGGAATTGTATATTGTTTTTAGCCTTATTTATCCATCGTTAATCTCTTTCAATATTTATATAGAGTTTGCAATTTTATTTGATATATGATGTGAACATTATTACGTAATATTTTGGTTGTGCCGCTATTAAAAACATATATCAGATACTTCATCAAACGAAAAACACTTTGGTGATATATATTTTATTTTCACTTATTATACAAATATATTTGAATCATCACTTTTTATGATTTATTACTTAAGATATCCATTTTTCGATTTATAATCACAACATGTTTGTTTCAAAAAATGTATTATTCACCATTTAGTGTCTCTTTCGAAAAAGCAATAAATATTGCAAAAGTTTTTCAATTCAACATGTTTTAATAAATCCATCCGATTTAAAAGGAATTGGGCAACAGGTAAAGCATATACGAGCTCTCTCCCTGACATGGTTAATGTCATCTCGTGAACAAGTACATTTGTATTCAATTAAAAACAATTATTTAATACAACCTCTTATTTAACCTTTTCATTTGTAGACCATTATAGTTATTTCCATTTAAAGTAAACGTGTACCAAGGGAGACAACCTGGTTGAGAAGACCATTATGGACTTTTCGAAAGTGATATATAAATACAGGTTAAAATGTATGCAGGACATGAAAATATTTCGAAGAAATATATTTCAAGCATGTTTTATAAAAAAAACAATCACAATGGATGACGAGGTAAAACAAATCAGTTGGTAAGATAATCGTAATAGGAACATGACATAGCAAAAGGTTCAACAGTTCAATATGTTATCACGATCTTTGACAGACAAGAGGAACAAATTATGTTTAAAATCCACGCAATAGTTAGTAATGAGCTAGTAAAATATTGTAACAGAAATAATAGTTCCTCGCTGCATTAGGATTCCTCGTCCACAGTCATCCCTATGGTATCGTACATGTTAGGGACGTTCCTAGTCAGGGAATCAAGTTTTTCATAATTTTCGTCAGATGTGGCACTCTTGGAAATTTGATGCCCATTTTCAGTGTTTACAACTTCATAAGGACCATCTGAAATAAGAGATGGTGAAGAAAGGGCAATTATAGTTAACAAAAATAATTCGAAATGTTAATTCGTAGTGCGACGCTGCTAATGCAATAAGTAAAGTCACGCTTTTCGTTTATTCACAACGTTGCAAAAAGCAAAACATGGTTTTCAATACGCCTACTTAACTTAATGCAAAGCAATAATGTCTATAGGGGTACATGTACAAACAATTGTATAAGACACACGTCTATCATGTTTCTAATGCTGGCTTCATTTTATCAATTCATTATAAATTTTCAGTCTGTTTAATGATCGATGCTTAGCTACACAATAAGATTTCAACGTTGATGCATTAAAAGTAATTAAGCAGGACGAGACTTCAACAGACACTGAAATATCGTAGCTTGAAACTTCTTCAACAGAAAATCTTGATAAAGTGGTTTACATGTCAACAGAACGCATTATACGGAACATCTTGTGTTGGAATTATAACTTTGATATTCTTCCCAAGATTACACTAAAACGGTACGAAAATGCCTATGTGTAACACCTTTTTAAGCTAAACACAAACAAATGTATATTGCCAAAAAGTTGTTGACAAATCTGTATTTACATCAAGGACATTCGATTGTCTTTTTAGATATGATTGATACACATGGATAAAAACTAGAAAAAATATTTCTGTCACATTACAAAAAGTACCTATATCTGCCTCGTGTCTTTTGACTTGTTGTAAGATGTCTGACATCTGAATAGGTCCCTCGTTATCTCTGTGCTTCATCCAGAGACGCCTGGTCTGTACAATAACTAAGATGACCAGCACCAGGACGACCACTCCACATCCAACACCTATCCCGACTGCAGCAGTTTTGCAGCTCTCTGTGTTCTTAAGACCTTTAATAAGGTTATTAAAGTCAGCACTAATTTAAAAGTGTATGTTAAGTTTAAGTTTAAAGTCAATTATATATGTCTGTTTTATACACAATTTTATCAAACATCTAGTACGTATTTGTACCTTGATACATACTTTTCAAATTTAGATGAATGCCGGTGTCCTTCATGAAATGAAAGTGCAAAGTACTTTTATCAAAATTAAACACAGTTGAAAAAGAAATGCTACAGAGTTAAATACAAAGTTAAAAAATCAATAAGAGGTATTTGCCATAACTTACAAACCGGCACAGTATCCATTGGTCTGAATACAGAAGTTGTCATTGCAGTCGTGTGTACAAATTTTATCACAATACACACCGTAGTATCCAGCTTGGCATTCTGAAACGTTACCAGAACGTAAATACATATATTCAATTTGTCCTAAGATGTTCCCAAATTTACTATGCACACATTATAAAAACATATATAACCAGATTATTCAGATGTTCTCATTCCTATTGGTTGAACAATATCCTGTTTTTCCATACAAAAAACAATAACAACTGATCGACATTATTCTTTTGGGCTTCAAATGGGGTAGCGGTACATTACTTAAACACAACTTAAACGCAGCATATCAACAATTTACTAAACTACGGTGGTATTATTTGCAATAATATACTAACCTTTGCAATGCCCGTTGGTCTGGTTACAAATACCTCCCTTACAGGGAATCACAAAAGGCATAGTAATATTAAAAAATATTTCTTATAATAATTTAAGTTATCACAATGAAGACTTGTTTCATGCTTTGGGAAATAATTATTTACATTATGTGCTTATAAGAAGGAACATGCAATTTTAGTGCAGAGATATAGTTAAAGCATTCGAGTTACTTCCCTTCATATGGTAGACAGTTGTTGTGATTAAATGTTTAGAGTTATCGCCCCTTAATGGTGGGAAATCCTCAAAGCGAAAATCAACACATAAAAAGACGTTTGTCAAAGAAATATGGCTTTGTAGCACAAGTTTGGTTTGTTTTAATGGTGTTTACGACATATTTGACAGTTTGCAGTTGGTATGCAATGTCGATAATGATCGATTGTCTCCAACATTATTTTTTGGGCCCTGATGTTTATATTCGGGAATAAAATGCACCAAGTAGTAACATGCGTCATTATGCCTAACTATGTTCACACAATTGAAATGATTTTAATTTCTTTGCGTTGTAAACAGTCGTGCTTGTTCGGTTTATTTTTATTCTGTCAGGTTTTTTCTCGTCTCGCCTGTATAACCCTTACTCTCACATGTGGTGGCGGGGGGAGGGGTGTGTGGGTGATTTAAATTCACCCATTTTTCAAACAATATTAGCTTTTATCCGGGCACTCTCTTCCCTTTCATTTGAGCAATCAAATACATCTCCAGCACACACGCAGGTATACATATTTTGATATATAGGTCACATGTATTATCAGTCTTAAACAATAAGTATTTTTTTGTTACATGTCCGTGAAATTAAACACAAGTTTATAACTAGTCTGAAGCAAAATTCACAACCTGCCTGTGGGTATGAATTCAGATGTATGACCTTGTAGTTGAGTCTAAAACAACAAGTACTGTTCGTAATCGTTTTTGTATGTATAATAATGCAATTTTATCAAATTACTGTTACACAATGAAAGACAATCATGGAAAAAAGTCAGGATACAAACATTTTAATGACTAAACAGTTAGTTATGCATACAGTATTTAGTTTCCTTTAGCAATGAAATACATAGCAATAACCATTTTCTCCACTCACACCTTCATACCTATTTCGTAAGCCTTTTTTAAATAATGTTAATACCGCTACAACCAGACGTATAATTGGTGGCACTGAACTTTACTTTCAGTTTCACATATTTAAAAATATGAACCTGTGTTTTTTAGATTTGACAAAGCTGGCCATGCACAGCTTTCGTTTGTTACATTCGAGGATTACGTAGAGAATTTCCAATGTCAGGGTGCGCTCGTTTCGCAACAAATCTTGTATTGGCCGTGTTGTACTGTATTGGCCGACTTTTTCCTGTGTTGACCGACCTCTGGATATGTATTGCCCGGGACCGATTTTTCTGTATTGCGACAACATCAAGCTAGTTAATTGATAAAACGAAGCACTATGTATAAGTACATGTGTATTAATAGCGCTATGGCAAAACTAAAAACCAAGATGTACCTCCAGAGAAGGTACCTTGCGCCCGGAAGTAACAAATAATTTGCATTACTTTCAATTTTGAATTGATTTAAAATTGATTTAAGTGATGATACTAATTCCATTTGCGTATATCTGAGCAACCAAGGGAAAATAAAACACATGACTTTCTTCATATCTATGATAGAAAAAACCTGTATGCGAAAAGTATATTCATATGTAAAACCCTGACGCTCGCTGTTTAAATAGAACAATCACAGTATTTTTTCACTTGTTAAGTTGTAGATATAATTCAATCATATTTTACTTCTTATAGTGATCTGTTGAGGAATCGTAAGCTATTAAAAATGAAAGAAAATATATATGTACACCATATAATCAACCCAGGAGATCACAATCATTAGAAAATCTTATCCAAATATAGAGACGACAAAACAACAACATAAAAAAAAGTGAAAAGCGATTTTATTTCATTAAATAGTTGATATTAATATCAGGTGAAGTGAGACATAAGTATATCACATATGTCGATAACCTGTCTTTATTACTACATTATTATACAATATACTTTTTCTGTTCGTTGCTTTGTCATAATTACACCATAGGTTCATTTCATTTTCGTGGTGACGGGATGCGGTGACTTTCACTGAACAGTGTCAATTAAAAGACTGCGTACACAGGTAACATGTGTCATTGTGTAAGTGTTAAACATAGTTTTAAAAGTAAGATAATACCAAAATATAAGTCTTTGGGCGAAATGAACATATGGTGCAGTTGGTATTTATTTTTTTCGCTTTCAGTATCGACTAACTGACTTTGGCCCATCAGGAGATTGTTCACTTCTTTGTTCAGAGACTATATCCTTTCTTAATGGATAATTCAACATTACACAGTTTTGCTAGTTGGTAGTGTTTGAAATATCTGGGGGCATCAAAAGTTGATTGTAGGATACAAAAATATCCCCCCCCTTGGTATACATCGCTTTGAAAATATGTTGACTCTATACTTTGAAATCCCTGCGGTGTTGTGTTTTTTTTTAAAGGATGTGAGTAAGAACGAAAAAAAGTTTTGCAACTTAACTGCTGTTATACATGTATCACCGAAGGACATTATAAACATTCCAGTGTAGCTGGTGGTTTGGAAGTCAAATCTTACATCACCTTCACGGGAAGTCTAGCCATGGTCTCCCGACATAAGTCTCTGCTTTAAAGTATAAATACTATAAATCTTTGAATTGTTTATAAAGTCTGGGTTGAGGGGAAGGGAGCGACGCTAAGTATGATACATACGGTTTATCTAAAGAAGGCTTTGGTCATTTTGTACTTGCGAAATAAAACTCATCATGATTCATATAAATGTAACACAAACTTTCCTTGTGAAATTTAGCACTATTTTTTTCCAAATTGATATAGATTTTAAGACAACATGGGACTCCGAACATGTTAAATAAGACAAATGAAAATGCATTCATTATTGTTATTTTAAAGAAATGAGTTTCTTTAGGCAAAAGAGCGAATCCTAGCAAGCGTAATATGAGTCTAGATCATTTAAACAGTTACATGTACATATTCCATGGCGAAGACGTCGTATCGTAAGCAACACGTTCCACAGATTAAATTTCATAAATATAGTAGATATTTCATCTATAATTGTCTCGCACTAATTAAAGATAATTTAGCTAAACTAATTATTTGTTCCAAGATTTCAGCATGTCGAATTGAAATCCTTTAACTAATCAAGTCATTCCTTTCTGCTGCCTTTCTCAGTACATATTCCCCACAGCGCTCCATTTTCTTGAATGGGGGTGGGGTGGGGGGGGGGTTGAAAGTGTATTTCACGATAACTAAGAATAATTCTTCAGAGTATAAAAAAATACAATACATGAATGAGTACGATAGGTAAATATAACACATAAATAAGTACGCTTCTGTATGATTTAAGATGATATAAGTATAAGACAATACGTATAATAAGTACATTGATACGTATGATTTTTTATAGTATAGGTGTATATTACACATTAATGAATACACTTATTTACGGTACAAGGAAATATAATACAATAAGTGTGGTTCCTAATTGTGCAGAAAATGTAACATATTTTCAAGTATGATCCTTATAGTATAGGTAAATATAACATATTATTAAGTATGATTCTTTATAGTAAGAATAAATATTACACAATACTAAGAATGACTTTGTAAAACCAACGTCAATTTCTCCCACAACCTCTAGGGTTTCTCATTTCCAGCTCATTGGTTAAATCTGCTAAGATTTGGTAAACATTCTTGTTACCCACTAGTGGTTAAATATCATGTTTATCTAATTCTCGTTAGCGAGTTTTCAAACTGTAAAAGACACTCGGTAAACCTCGTGTCTTTTATACAAGAGGCCGAGAGGGCCTGTATCGCTCACCTGGATATCGCAGCAATCATGGCAAAATATTCTCCAAATGAGATCCAAGGGAATATGTAGCATATCTGTATTAGATTTGTCATGCCCAACAATTTTATGTATGGTTATGGGGTGGGGATCTCAACTGTTTCCAAGCTGTGACTCAGAACCTAGGTCCTGATGGTTGTGGCCAGACCCCAGGATCAATT